CTGTTTATTGACAAGTCTGATAACATTGCGCTGATGGTCAATACAGCACGAGTAGCGAGGAATTCCGAATTATCTTCATGTTCCGAGTGCCCCTGTTGGGCTCGACGTCTGTCCGAGACCGTCGCAAGGCTGTTGAATGGCGTGCGCCTCTGCGTATGTTGCAGACGAGACGTCCGCCAACTGCAAAGTTGTGGGGTCGAGCAGCTGCAGCGAGTTGCTCACGCGCGCGCAGATCACAAGGGAGTTGACGAAGCATAGATATTTGCAGCTTGCTCCAGCCAGTCCTGCTACACTCGTGTAATTGCTAAATGTAAGGCTTGGTAGCTAACTAGCTTGACCATTCGCGAGACGACAGCCAAGATACGAATCAAAAAACTCTAATAAAAAACAGTAACTGAACATACAGAGCTCTATATGTGGGTCTACATAGGAGAGCAAAGTTATATGTACGCGCCGTGTCAGTGGTCGTCTTGGTTAGCCTCGCCTTGGTTAGCTTCGCGAGCTCGGGCTATGTGTGCAATTGATTCCCGTCCGCTTCACAGAGCGAGTTGTGAAATGAGCCTTGACTGTGAGGGGAAATTATGCTACTGTAATTGGTCTGAGGCATGCTTGTCGAAGAGGGAGTAACAGAGTTGTCCGCGCTGAAATTGACTGACGAAAGCATTTTATGTATCAAACGTCAATCAAACGTCATATAATGCAGGTGGTAACGCGGCCCGGATCTTTGGTCGGAGCAAACAAACGGACTCGCTCACGCTTGGCTCATACGCTCATGTCCGACGCCAGTCTCAGTCCGATGGCCAAGCAAGCGACCTGTAATCCTCGCTTCCGCTCCTTTTTCAAGATTGGAATCACGCTCCTTCTCCCCTTCCGCAAATCCAGCTGGACCAGCACGCTCGGATGAAAATACGCGATGACTCGGCGATGCAAGCCGATGCGAGTTTTCGCGAGTTGATGCGAGATGGCCATGGGCGACCTCACCCTTTTCTCTATCCATTTCCACGCGTTTTCGGTGATAGTGATTCATTCCTGGCTGATGATTATCCTAGTTGCCATACTGGCCTTCGCTATTGGGATGCTGGAGACTCTTCCGGAGAGTGAGGCTCTTCTGTGTGTCTTTCTTTTTCTTTTTCGTTGTCTTTGTGAGTCGTCGAACTTACCCACTTTGCGTCCAGATGCCGTGAATACGGTCTTGGATAGGGCCACCCCCTCGCCGCCGCACGAGCGTGGGTCGCTCCCCGCAGAGCTATCCCTTGCTGGATGCCGCTGCATACGACTACCTCCGGCTCTCACGTGGCGCGCTGCTTGTCGAGCAGGTCGTGCTCATGGATTATATGGGCAAGTCGATGCAGCGCATCGTGTTGCTCGAGACTGCGCCGGGGTCTGTGGTCAACACGGAGCCTGACGTCAAGGCGCGCGCGAGCGCGAGCGGCAGGCCAGAGCTCCAGACTCTCCACCGGCGTCCGCAGCGCTCCATCCACGCCCGGTACGCACTCTCCCGTGCACCCAATCCGCATCCACATCTGCCTCCGATTCCGCACTCGCACGCGCCTCCGCCTCCACACTTGCACTTGTACCCGCACCCGCGCCCACGCCCATGCGGCCAGGACATTCACACCTACCTGCCCGCTTGCGCTGAAGCCGAGGTAGCACCTGTACGCGCACCTGCACCCATATGCGGGTGCGGGATGAGTATGCTGGATGGGGCGGGACTGCGTAAAAGGACACACCCTCTCGCTCCTGTAGATCAAGGCGATGTGAACCGCGTCAAGAGCCTCTTGCTGCTCCTCGACTGGAAGAACATAGGGATCAAGTACAGCAAGTCGCGGCAGCTTACGCTCTGGTGGGCGTACCCCGATGCATTCACAAAAGGCACGGACAACAATGAGGGCGAGGATGGCGCTGGGGAGAGAGAGGCAGGGGTGGATGGCGCCGAACGTGCCTGTGGGGACGTTTATGGAGGACGGAGGAGGTACGTTGCCTTTTCTCTTTATCTTTCTCATTCTTTTGTTGACACACTACGCAGAACTACTCGCTCATGCCTGACGCAAGTCTTAGTCAGATTTTCCCTGCTCGCACTCCTTTTTTCAGCGGAATCCTGCTCCTTCTCTATTTTCGCAAATCCGAATCAGCACACTCAGATGAAAATGCACGATGACTTGATGCGAGCCAATGCGAGTTGATTAGACATGGTGGTTATGCGTTCATTTTTTATTCTATAATTTACATATGTAGTCTTCAATAGGATGGAAGATTGATATGTGGAAGTACTTGCCTGGCCCCAGTGTGAGTCTGAAAGAATAATTTCCTATTCAAGTATATTAGAAGCACCCATTTATTCCCTTTTCTAGATTGTTTGGTTCAAGATCTGCGGATGATCTGCGGGGTCCGCAGATTCAAAATCTGCGGACCCCGCAGATGGTCCGCAGATTGTACGGAGATTATCGATCTGCGGGTGATCTGCGGACCCCGGAGATCATACGGAGATCGACGGAATATTTTGAATATTCCGGCTATCTACGGCCCCCGTAGATGGCCCGGAGATCACACGGAGATAATTGATCTCCGTGCGATCTCCGTGCTATCTGCGGGGCCCGGAGATCATAGTGTGCCCCCAGTGCTCTGTTCTTGACCCCACCAAGGACCCCTACGCGGTTCTCCTCGCTAAATTATCCAAGATGACGATGCCTCCGAAAGCCCGCCAGGTGTATCAGCAATTGATGCATGAGTCCTACAGAGAGAAGATCGCGCCGGAGGTGGCTCAGGAGTGGGAGAAGCTGCAGGAGAGCACAGGTAATCTGGACCCGAATAAAAAACCCAAGGGGGGCTTTCGTGCCCAAGTGGCACGCGACGTCTTCAAAGAGCTGCCGGTGGAAGAACAACGAGCACTCGGTGCGTGCGCGAAGAGCGAGGCTCAGGAGAAGCGTGCAGCGTATGTCAAGTTTCTGAAGGATCCGGCCTTGACGCTTCCTGCGGATCGTCAGAAGTGAGTAGTCGTTGCTTTATGTCCTGCGAGAGATATTGAAGGATGAGTGGCAGATGTATCGACAATGTCCCGAGTTTTGTGGGGCCAATTTTGGCCGGACTGCAAGAGTACACGGGGATGCACTGTTTACTGGTTATGGCTGGCCCCGTGCCGAAGTACGGAGGGGAGATCCGCACCGTGCAGTAAGTGCTGAGCGTCTGCCCGAACAGTCTTTCATGATGCTGATTGGATATAGTGTTTCGTATGGACGAAATCAGACGGCGTCGGCGCAACATGTCGCTCAATGGAATAAAGACCGATTTAATCAGCAGGTACTCGGATACATGAAGGACTATTGTGCTACGGCATTTAGTGCGTATAATTCCCCATTAACCGGTGATATTTTGCTGATATCTGCTCGCAGCGGAACAAGATTGTGCTGCGGTGGCATTGCCTGACGCCGCCGACCTCTCCAAGGCGAAATACACGATCGCACGGCCAGATGAGAAAGACGACGACAGCGGCAGCGATTCCGAGAGTAGTAGCGACTCCAGTTCCAGCTCGGGGTCCGACACTGACTCCGATATCGACTCTGGTCTGGAGGACGAAGAGGAAAAGACTCAAACGCGCAAGAAGCGCAAGCTCGACACCGCGAAAGGCTCCGCCACCGCGACCACGAGCAAATCAGGTGCCGCAGCCGCTTCCACTGGGCCCGACCCGGCGCCGGTCTGGCGTGACGAGCAGGGTCGGACGTACATGCAGGCCCGCGAGGCCAATCAGGCCCGAAACCGCCAGATGGCAGCAGAATGGCGTACACAGTTGATGGAAGACGGACTCCTGCCGCCCCCAAAGGCGCAAGCACGCCCTCACGAGCGCCTCAAAGAGGTACCAACGGGGCCACAGCGCAAATCATCGCGACTGGCTGGAGCGTCCGCAGCGGACGATGGAGTGGACCCAATGGACGTCGACATGCCAATGGAGGAGGACGCTATGGACGTTGACGCCGCTTCTCAAGACGACAGACCGCCGGACGCGGATGCAGCTTCACTCGACAATGGACCCTCCCAGGACGTCAACGTTCCTCAGCACGGTGAAGCGCCCTCTGCGCCCCTGGGACGCCCAAAACCACGTCGCATCCCGCCGCGACAGCCCGAGTCCGCACCAAAATCGCATTCAGCGGTATCTACGCCGCCTGAGAAGTCAGCAGCGCCAGCTCCTGATCTCACCTCGACAACACCTGCAGCTTCCATGGTAACGGCGACAGCCCCCATCACGACTCCCGAAGGCTCCTCGACATTGACGGCGACACCCCCTGATATGACTCCCGAAGGCTCCTCGTTGCCGCCCGCGCCACCGAACGCTGCGAGGCAAATTTGTCCCTGTCCATCAAAGGCTGCTGAGTGGTTTGTGGACGCGCATGCTGCGATGACCCGCCAAGACTTGGGGTGTCATTTTGATGCGTTAGTGGCAGCGTGGATGCGTCTGGAAATAGCTTCAAAATACGCGCAGGCGCCGACAAACTTACCGAGTAAGGGCCGCCCGAAGCAAGTCGGGGCCTGGATTGCGGCGGCACGCGGCAAGAGAGGAACGGCGGATCCGAAGGTGACGGATCCAGCCAAGTACACAGTAGAGTGGCAAGGTTGGTGGGACGCGTTGCAACCGAAGTGGAGACAGAAGGATGCAGATGGGAGGTGGTCGACAACGGGTGAATACGGGAAGGATGGGAGCGAATGGGGCCCGCTGTATCAGTGGGGCGTGAACGGCACGTTGAGCTTGCTCGCGTCGCTTTATTTCTGGGGCTGTGCAGTGCACGGGGATGCTGACTTGGAGGTGTCGTGGGAGGCGGCGGTATTGGATGTTTCTTGGATGCTGGAGGGAATGGCAGTGTACTATGAGAAATTCAATCGTAGATTCTGAATGTAGTTGATTATTTATTTATTTGTTAAAATTTGCTTCAATCGACGAACTTGAGATTGAGATAGATTTGGTGACATTAATACCCGAAGGTATCTCAAAAAATTTCAGATCTGTAAATGACCCTGTAGCATAATGTTAGTGCGTCTCGCCAATGTACGGTAGTGGCTGGCATTCCACGAGAGGCTCTCAGTTCAAGTCTGAGTGGGGTCATTGTTTTATCACTCGTAGATTCTGAATATGTGACCTCAAAACACGGACTTGTGGGCGTAGAAGAAAAAAAAAGCGAAAAGAAAATGAGCCCACTCATATTGACCACTGTTCACGAGACGGTCTGAGTGGGGTCATGTTATATTTTTGGCGCCATTTGTTTTTTCTTTTTCTTTTGGTCAATGCAAGCCGGGCGAATTGCGGGCAAACCCGAACTGGAGGAGGCTGCCAAATAGCGCCAAATTCAAATCGAGAGCCCAGGAATTTGAGGATTTCGTGGAAAGGTCGAAGTCGGAGCGGCCGCGAGATCCAAAACTACGGAAAAGGATTAGGAAGGGAATTGGGTATGGATAATATCGGTGCCCAAGCGCCGGCGGCGGCGGAACCTAGAAGGGTTTGACAAACAAATGCAAATAAGGATTAACAGCCATTTTGAATATTCTTACAGGGGCCCGGCGTGAAGGAGCAATAAAATTAAAGACCACATACAGGTCAAAAATGCGATAAGGATGCGATTGATGGATAGAAGGCCCGGAATACAACCCAGAGGAATGCCCAAATTGAATAGGGGCTATATAAGGTAAATGCCAAGTGGTCAATTCTGCGTGAAAGGAAGAGCAAGAAGGACCGGAGATTAATGCATAGCAACTAATGGGTCTATAACCATTAAGCCTGCATATGAAAGGGCTGGTAAATACAGCCTGGAAGGCTACCAAATCGGAACAGGGGCTAGGTCAAAGTGGATGCCGGGTTAATGCCGATGAGGGAAGTTGCCGAAGGAGTATTACCCGAAAAGGAGCGTGAGAATTGGGGGAGGCAAGAGGGGATATGCCAAATGGGTTTTCAAAGGTTTTGGGTACCCATCAAAATAATAATTGTATTTTTCCGTATTAATCAGGGCCCCATCAGAGTGCAAATATATGTAAAGCCACTGTTATATCCCGAGCCAAAAGGGGAAAGAGAGACCTCTGGGATCTCCGGATGTGGACGCAAGTCCGGAGCATCCGGAAGAAGACCGGAGGCTCTCCTGTCGGCTGTTCTCGCAACACCACAGCTCGGAAGGGTGAGCGAACTGTCTGACTATCGAGCCGAGACTAGACGGAGGAGAAATGGGAATAGAAGACTCCGGAGGCAACCACGTGACCCCGGACGGAGCCGGACAGGTACCGGAAGGGGTGCGGAGTGATTCGGAGGATGCTGGAAGCAACCGGAGGAAAGCTGGTGGAAGCGGACAGGCTCCGTTGGAGCCCAACACAATGTAATAGACTTTGCGGAAGCAGCACACGTCCCGGATGGGACCCAAGTGACCGGAAGCGGTCCGGAAGGAGGGCGTGGGAACCGGGGCTGATCTGTGACAGTGCGGGAGACTCGGAGGATGCCCGGAAGGGAGCCGGAGAGGCACCAGATGAAGTGGAAGGGATTCGGCCGGAAAGGGCTTCAGCCGGGAACCGGACGACTGGAGTGAAGAATAACAAAGACAAACAAGATCCAGAGGTGTCGAGAAGACACCGGGATGAGGATGGAAGTAAAGGAAGACTCAGTCCATGAAGGAAGCCATGGAATAACGTTAATTTTCCAGATAGAGTACAGAATGTAATCTACTGGGATTATATAGACAAGTCCTTTATTGTAATACCAGAAGTGGACGAGTCAGAAGACTTTGGAACGTAACAATAAGTAGTGTCCCGAAAAGGAAGTGCATGGGAAAGATTGGTAAGGGACAATAAGGAAGAAGACGGATAAAAGGGAAACACGTAGTAATATAATATGACACAAACCCGCTTGGCAGCGGACACAGGGACAACCGTGGGAAACGTCCGGAGGGCCGGAGGCCCGATCGGTTCGGAGCGGAACCGGAGGCACAGCCACTGAAACAAGCTGAGAGGGTTGGAGATGCGAATCGAAGGCCAACTGATCCACTGCGGGAAAGGGCCGGAGGTCCGGCAGCCGGAGCTGGACCGGAGGCGTGGGAACAAGTCCTCGCAAGGCCTGCAAGCATGAGAATGTGTCCGGAAGAAACCAGGAGGAATGCGGAGGTGGAAAGGACTGTAAGGACAATGCGGAAATAACCGATTGGTCAGGGAAGGCTGGATAAAGGATGAGCTTCGTAATCAATCTAAATGGGGATTGACCAGAGGGCTCCGAGAGGCGGGAGGCCGGAGGGAGTCCGGAGCGTGGGAACATCCCCGGGGAGTGGACAAGCCAGGTCGGAGGGACTCGAAGGATCGGAAGGCATGATGATTGAGCTTTAGGAGTCCACGAGAAAGGGAGGCCGGAGTGGCTGTGCCGGAGATGCCGGAAATGGAAGGGAATGGAATGGCAGATATGCCTGAAGATGCGGAAGGTGGAAATGAGCAGAATAGCTATGCGGAAATGACAAATAGTCCCGGAAGCCCAGAGGGTCGTAAAGAAGGAGTGGCTATGATTGGCTTAGTAATCATTTGAAATGTGAGGTCACCGGAAGTGATGGTGACCTCCGGGAAGCTCCGGACAAACCGGAGCTGCGAAGAAAGTGTCGGAATGTGCATGGATATAACAGCCACAAAAGGCGTGGGAGAGACCCGGGAAAGCCCGCAGCAGCCTATTTTCTGGCTGTATTTGTGTGTATGAACACAGCCAAGCAGATGGCTAGGAACATGACTTTAGACATCCAATCCCATGGCTACAACTATGTACTTTAGGCTATATATTACAGCTATGGCTCGGTCACTATCAGTGTCAGGATAGACCACAATACACGTACTGCACAGCAGGGGCCTTTCTTTTCGACTCGGCCGGGGGCTTGGTAGCCTTCTTTTTCGATTTTTTTGGCAGATTCTCCTTGTTGGCATCCTTTTTGGGTTTGCGCTTGCACTGCGGGGTAGCCTTAGCCTGCGCAAGGATGAGCTGGGCCTCCAGCAGCTGTTTCTGAGTGGGTGGCATGCGAGGGATGCGCGTCGCGACCGGAGACACGTACGCGACGCCAAATGATCAAACTCTGCTTGATGCACGGCTCTGTGGTGCCGAAATCCACTGCTTGCCGATTTACCTTCGGGCTTGTCGGGAGCAACGAAATCAAAAATGAAATCCGAGTCGAAATCACGTCGAAATCAGGTCGAAATCTCTACTCTGAGTGACCCTAATGAGTTAGATATATAAAAACCAGAGAGAATTGATGCACCAGGAATAGTTGTAGCTGTTAGACTGTTAGTTACAGTAGTTGCAACTTATTCTCAGAGGTTGATGTTGGAAGTCTGTCACCAATCTATAAAGTAATTTTCATGTATACAGCCATATGTACTATTTTAAGAGCTGAATGACCCCACCTGGTCTTCTCAAAATTCTGGAAGAGGGCTTCAAATACTTGCAATGTGACAGAATATCGAAGGGGAGAAGGATGGAACTCCGCCATCATTCTCCGCTATTGTTGCAATTTGACTGAAATTTTGTGATTTTGTTGAAGCAAAAATGCTATAACACTGCAGAAGTAGGCCACAGGGACATTTCAAGCATTCAATGTTTGGGAGTATCCCATTATAATGGCAGAAACAAATAAGTTGTTGCATGGCCATTACAGCTGTGTTTTACATGGGCCATGGAGGCAAAAGCCCGGGCCATGGCCATGCCGTTGACTTCCAAAAAAAATGCCCCATGGAACGGGCATGGCACCTGTGGCACGGATGCCTGGAACTGTGGCCATGGTCACAGCGAACAGCCCTATTTTGCAGAAAACACAGTGAATTCCCTTGGTATTTTCCATGCATCCTCAAATTGGCCGATACCCCAGAACTTGTCAAGCAGAAGCTGGTTCTTGGCCAACTGGCCATCACTTGTCATTCGACAGTCGTCCCATTGCTTATGTTGTTCCGTCACGGTCAAGTTTTTAGACGGGGAACTGCACACGATGTCATCGATCAGGTATGCAGGTGCGGCCCGTACTGGCGGACAACGACAAACAATCGGGAGTGCATGTGATTGCGGCTTGTATTCTGCAAGTTCCGTATATGCAGCATCCCGTCGAACCCTGACTCCTCAAACTCAACGACCATGTCGGCCGGATTCCGAATCTCGCCTGCACTATGGGACCGGATACACCACTTTGCCTCGTTTCCGCAGACCGGCGGTGAGCCCTCAGTCTGTCGTCCCTTTACAATCTCACGTTGCAGGCAGTCTCGTTGCAGCAGATGGTGCTCTTCGGACAAAATCCCAGCCAAGGGACACTGCTGAAGGCGAGCCAGTTCCTCGCTGGTGAGATTTAGATTTCTTGCGCGTTTACCTCGGAACGGCTACAAATTCATTGAGCAGAGGAGCTGCCCGTCCGGCTAGCGCACCGAGTCAAAGAGCTCGACGAGCTGCCCCACAATCTCAGCGCGATGCCCTCCATCAAGAAGGTGAAAAACTGGTACGCGCAGTCGTTTGAGGTCCGTTGCCACCGCTGCTCGTGTGACCTGTGGCCACGGTCTTACATTCCGCCTTTCCAGGAGTTGATCAACTTCCCCGCAATTACGCTACCGCCGAACATACGGCAAGCGCTCACGATGCCGCGGTCGGACGAGGTTGCACTCCCCGAGTCGACGCCAAATCCCTCCATGAAGGGCGCGGGCTACACGAGCGGAAACGGCGCCAACGGGAATGGATTCAACAAGCTAAAGCTGCGGGTACCCATGGAACGACGGTGCGCGCATGCGTCGGCTCCAGACTGTCGACTTCTAATTCACGACGCAGATATTACGCCAACCCAGTAGGCATAAACTGGCCGCCGGAAGTGGCGCACTACAATACCCGGTTCACCAAGACGCTCGAGATGATCAAGAGCCGGCATGACCCGACTGTGACCACGGTGGCGCAGGGTGTTCTGGAGTGGAAGAAGAGCCAGGGGACGAAGACCATCGGTCTGGACATCCAGGCGTGGCTGGACCGCTTCTATATGTCGCGTATTGGGATCCGATTTCTTATCGGCCAGCGTGCGTGGCGCACTCCCTCCATTCACTCTCGACGCTAACCCCGCCGCAGATATCGCGCTC